GAATATATATGAAAAATATAGGCGACAAAACCTTCTAATCTAATTTCTAATCGTGACGATAGTCAGGAATGAGAGCATGTGCATCATTATTCTTACAACGTCACGAATTTGTTTTACAATACATCAGCTCATGTATAAACGGTACCTTTAAACTGTATGGATTATTTTACAAAACCTAGTTCAGAACAGTTGACTGAAGTAAGTGGCTACATTTACACTAGTGAGTCTAAACTTTTGATGGGGAGTATACTTTCAAAGTTTTACCAGGCCTTGGATGCTGTAATCGCTTTGGGCAATGGACAGCAAAGCCGTCACATCGAAGGGTCGGTTTCTACTTGTATATGGTTATACTGTGTGAAGACTAGACTTAGTGTTCTGATGTCCATGCCTTTGTGTTTCAGGAAAACTGATAAAAGCAACTGGAATGTACACACGTTTACTCGCTAACCCTTACTTGTTAAAATACATCTGATTCGTGGATATCTTGTTGAGGGCATGTCCATTGCCAGTTGAACATTGCATATATAGGAACCGTTCTTAACCATATTTTGCATTTTTTGCATATGAAGATGTCACGGTACCCTAGACAGGTGTAATGAAAAGGGGTTCGGCTGGAATGAAAACCAATTTATCTCTTTTGTAAAGAGTTGCATAAACATGGACTTTTTTTAAGTTTTCTAGCTCAATCGTGCGACAAGCAGCTCTCTATCTTCTGTTTGCGAACGCTCTCCACCCATCAGAGATTTGTCAAACCACCATTTAAGATTTGAACAAAATCAATGCTTCCTGTGTTGCGGACCATGTGCAGGAAGCAAGTCTGAGTTCATACTGTTTGTTCAAATATGCCCCTTGTTCCACTTGTCAAAGGTGCTTGTTCAGTAAGCGTCTGGTCGTTGTCAAATGGAATACATTTTAACACAGCTGAAAGGTCGTTTTTAAATGACCGATATTTCACTTTGAAGAAAGGCTTGAGAGTATTGGTGTCATTTGCTTTTTGACATGGCAGAATTCTCTCTGGTTATGAAGAGATATGTAAGATTGTGTACACATGCATGTTCTGCTGATTCGATTAGCTTATTTTTGGTTTAATTAAAGCATTGTTGTCAGAAGTGTGTTTAAGTTGAGAATAGTTCATGATCTGTTACGTAGCGAACGAATTCGCTGTTAAAACGGGTCCATCAATTATGCATTCAAAACTTGCAGATTCAAATTCAAAAGATACTACGAAACCTAATCAACAAATATTTAATACAACTCAATTCTTGAGCTATCATGAATCACATCTCCAAAGACAAAATGCTTACGCCTGAAACCCGCTCAAGCTCGAATTCGGTTCGTTTTAGAATATTCACTTCGATACATATGAATATTTGGGATAACTTTCACAACGATAGGTACTAGGTAATTTTTATTTTTTTTTTTTTTTTTTTATTTTATTTTATTTTATTTTATTTATTTTTTTTTGGTGGGGGTCATTCACATTGTACATGCTTCTCCATAAAATCATCATCATTCCCCCAGCCATAAATTATGAGCGGTCCCTTATGACGTTAATTTTCCGTGCAGTAAAGTTTGTAAACACACACGCACTCACACACATGTAGAGACGAGATTCTGTATAATGTGTGTCAGGGATTGATGCAACATTTCAACCTTTAAAAGATTTATTTAAGGGTAACTGAAATTAATTTAAGTTGCATGAATAATTATCATTCTTCAACTTTTGTCCAGTTGAACATGTGATGTTTTGAAATGACCCATGTAGAGAAATCTGGCTATCATGGTGAGAGACCGTGATCACATGGAACATACAGAGCGCACCTGTTTATCTTTGTTCTATAGTTGATGTTTAGTCAATACAGACTTTGAAACCCTTCCCAGGGGGGTCAGTAAAGCCTCTTGGCATTCTTTCATTACCAGACCTGAAGTAATGTGATATCCCACATTAATATAATGCCAATCACTTTTGTTCAAATAGTAATGTATGGCAGATACTCCTTAAAATTGACAGATTTTACCTTGGATTATATCAAGAGTGGTCAGTCGGAGAAATATCAAACAGTTCTATTTCAAGTGATGTCAACATCTTATACTCCCTGAATGACTCTTCATCATTGAAACTCCAGATGAGGATGGTTTACATCCACATCTTGCAAACTCCTTACAACGTTGATTCTACATTACTGATACAAGACGTGCAGAAACTAAATGTTGGGTTGTAAATTACAGAAGAATATTTCTGAAATGACGTGAATCAGCTCTGGTGACATATTTGATTAAGAAGCATCATAGAGGGGGAAGACCTTGTGGTTACTTGTGCCGACGTGTAAAGGTCCAGGTCTCGGTGCTCAATACACTGTTGGGAAGAAAAAACACTGAAAACCATACTCACAATCATTTTTTATCCCTATTAATTTCAAACATAGATAAAATTAATCCCATTATTACTTCTTTTACCGTTGAAGGAAAGTTATGTGACAGTTGATTTTTTGTGAAACAATGTTGTAGCTGTATTACATTGTATACAAGCTGAAGTCCATACCATGACAAATACTTTGATTCCAACAAATCCCAACATACGAAACAACAAAAACAATCTTTTACAATCGACGATTTATTGTAAATTGAAATAGATCTACAAATCTTAAGCAAAATAATGACAATGGTAGTATACAACAGGGCAGCAGGGCAGATTCTTACATTGTTTTGAGATGGCAATCAGTTCCTCCGATTTGGCACAATTACATATACCAATGTCACAATTAATACTCGATATTGCCTGTTAATGTAACCTTCAACAAACCTTAATCCGGGCTTGAAGACAAAATTGTAAATGCACATTATGCAATGTGACTGCCTCTGAGATGTACTGAGGTGGGCGAAATCCACTTCACATTTCTTGGACTGGAAACCTTTCAGGTGATATTATACTCTACTTTGAAGAACGACCCGTGAAGGTCCGGGTTTCAATATTGATCTTCGTATGCTTGTCGTAAGAGGCGACTAACGGGTGGTCAGGCTCGCTGACGTGGTTGACAAGTGTCATCGGTTCACAATTGCGCAGATCGATGCTCATGCTGTTGATCACTGGATTGTTTGGTCCAGACTCGATTTTTTACAGACCGCCGCCATATAGCTGGAATATTGCTGAGTGCGGCGTAAAACTAAACTCACTCACTACTTTGAAGAACGGTATTGACGTCCCTTCAGAAAAGGAACAAATTCTGTGTCAGCTCTAGTTGACTTATTACTGTAATGATGAACGGTCTTTGGAGGACATGATTCAAGATACCTCTTTTGCTGAAGACGTTTCTATGACAACTCTTTTTAATACGCTCTATTTATCACCTTTCAGATGATATTATGCTCTATTTTATTTTTACAAACCGTTATTTACACAGAAGAGGAACAAACTCTAGTTGACATATTACTGAAATGAAAATAGTCCTTGCACTTCCCTGACAACTCATTTTAATCCGCCCTAGTTAGCACTCATCGGAGATTTGTCAGACAACTGTTTGATCTTGACAAAATCAATCCTTCCTGTTTGCCAGACCATGTGCAGGAAACAAGTCTGAGGTCATATGTTTTGTTCAAATATGTATCTTGTCCGACTTCAGCAGTCTGTCCACAGTTTAAATACAGGAGAAAGGTCACTGAAAGTGAATGACATTTCACTTTGAAGAAATGGATTTGCAGCTGCTTAATATGGGAGAAAATACGTCTAAATATTCAAAGTTCGACTGTTTGTTGAACAAGACCTGGTATGCAGCACATCAATTTTGTACTTTATGATTTTACAAATGCAGTATTGAACATTTCAGTTGCTTAACATACCCATCTATATTCTATATTTAGGAATAGATAACATATAGGTTATATTTTTTGTTTTTCAATTGTACCAGTTACTGGAGCCTTCCAGTGATTTACACCTTAATTGTAAGGAGTAAATATTCTGTACATGTCTCAGATATTTTCGTGAGATATTACAAATGACACTGCGGTATATCTAGAGCTGGAACTGTTTCTTCACAATACAAAATAGTAGTAGAATAAACTGCAAAGACTTCCCATAACGCCAAGAAATGGCTGATGATGAAGACTGAAGATTCCTGTTGAATATTCACTCCAAATATTGGTACATTTGTGTCATCTCGTGCAAGGCGTCATGTATTTACCTGAACGTACGAAAAGTGAGTGAGTGAGGTTAGTTTTGCGCCGCTTTTAGCAATATCCCAGCAATAGCACGGCGGGGGACACCAGAAATGGGCTTCACAAATTGTATCCATGTGGGGAATCGAACCCGGGTCTTCGGCGTGACGAGCGAACGCTTTAACCACGAGGCTAACCCACCGCCCCTGAACGTACGAAAAACACTCATGGCACTTATGTAAAAAGAATTGCTTCAAAAATCACGCTTTTTACTGATTCCTCGAATTTGGAAATAAAAAAATCCTCGTCTATCAAACTACTTAAAAGCTTTGCCGAGGCCATGAATGCTGTAAACCTGGTCAAAGAACTTTGAAATCTTCGTTGAATGATCATGCCGAATTGTAGATTGTTAACGGAAAATGTTTTCTACTATCATAACAATGTCGTGTGTTATACATTTACCGTGTTGAAAGCCTGTTGATGATATATGGTGATGTACTGTTCATCTGTTTGTTTAATTACTCATTACAAGTAGACAAACGAGGTAATAAGGAAAAAGCAACCAACTTTGACGTTTTGCATTATATTTTTAAGGTTTAAAGTACTGCGAAATTTATACAGAATGATTAAAACGATCTTTAATTACATCTCACGTAACGAGGCATTTAGTTCAAGGCTGTTTATGTGAACCGACACAATAAATCATTACTCTACATTTCTAGAGTAATATTGTCTGAATTTAAGTTTTAATGAGAATATTTACAAAGCGCCGTGTCCAAGCTAGATATCCTGCTCAAAGTGCACAATCTGATCATTATTACCCCGGATAACCCAAGCTGCCTGTTTAGCGCTAGAAGATTAATAGTCTCTCGGTTTATTTCACCGGGTACCCATTTTCTGCTGGGTGAACAGAGGCAATTTTGAACAAACTCACTTGCCTAAGGTGAGACCACATGTATCACATGTACTTCGTTGTGGGGCAGGACTGAAGTCCTAGAAACTCCAAGGAGTCAAATGTCAAACACGGTCACCCATCCAAGGACTCTCCGCGTCCAACGTTGCTTAACTTCAACTGATTTGTAACCTGAGCTCCATGCACAGGACCACACATATCCACGTGATTTACGTCAACAAAGCCATATAGTCCACGCAATCACAATAAAAACCTGATCGGTTTTGCTAACTCACTTTCTATTATACGCAATGGGTGCAAATGGCAATTCGAAATTGCGAATATAGATAAGCAACGTACCGCCATATTATCGTATGATATGTTCGAGTGAACGCTCAAATATCTATAAATAATGCACTTGTGTACACGTTGCGTTGCAATCTAGTTCATACGCACGGCCCAAAATCCTCGCAATCAACAACACCTGGTGACGAATTAGCGAATCGAATTAGCAGATCAACGAATCGTGGCGATGCAACTTCAGTATAAGAAACAGATGCCCTCATCAGTAATGGTCTACAATAACGAGGTTTCGTTGTAAAGCAAACTCATATGTCATCTTCATTTGATTCATCAATTTTTTCAACCCTGCGGTTCGGTTTAAACATATTTATTCCAAAAGAGGAACCGGATTGGTAAACAAGCAGTATGGTGCTTTATCTGAATACCGCCCGAATACAGATAAATTATAGATATAATAATCGATGCGGAGAAAAGTATGATATTAATTAACAAACGATGAACAATAGCTTTCTGAAATGTAATAATCATAAACTGTAATATAGCCGCTTTTAACGTTAGAGCCATTAGTGTCGGAAAATACTTAATAGTAAGTGCAATTTCGTGTTTACTTATTACAACACAAATCTGCCTGACAGTACAATGAAAGAATGGTTGGATTCTAATAATTCAAGATTACCTTTGTAGTAGATCCATTAGAGTGGCTGTATATATTGATTTGATGTCATATCCTTTAGTATAGAAGTGCATTTTATGTCTTATGTCAGAGTAATTAACGCACGAAAAGAAATAGTGAATTGGATCTTCGTAACAATAGCCACAAGAACAAGAGGGATTGAAGATATAAAGCGTTGATATTTATGTAAAATTGCGTTTAAATCGCTGCAACCGAGCCTGAGGCTTGAATGGATAATCTGACAGAATCTTGTTCCAAAGCTTAAATTGAAGTAATTTTGACTATTATTATTTGACCCATTAATCTGTTTCTTAAAACTACCCAAAGCCGTTTCTCTATAATCGGTAGACAAAACAATTCCACAATCTTACTGTATCTGGGAGAAATGACTTAGCATAATTTGCACTTTTACTATCGATAGATTGGAGCTTCAAACGGTCTCGGAAAATGTAGCTTGTTGTGTCAGATACCTTAGGAGGGACGAGATGGCTCAGATATTTTGGAGTTAACTTATTAAACATCTTATAGAAAAACGTTATTAGTTTTTTGGATGTATCTTTGAGTACATAGTGGTTGGAAATTTGTCTCATCATAAATTTTGTTGTGACTCGTGCCGCCAACAGCACCGCAACTAGTTCTAAGTGCATCAAGATTAAGTTTTTCCAGTGTTAGTGCTTGCCGTTTGGTACAATTGTCCCAGATGTGACAACCATAGTCGAAAATAGGTACAAGATAAATTGTTTTGTAAAGTTCTACGTGAGAGACGATATTTAAAACCTCTAAGACAGCTTTTACCATGGGTGCAACCTTTTAGCGATACAGTTAACATGGTCAGTCCAGGAACAATCGTGCTGTAAAGTAAGTCCCAAATGTTTATATCCTTCATTGTTAAGTTTCGTTTTGGGCTGGGTTGAACTTTACGAGAGAATTGTATAGAATCTGTTTTATTAGGATTAAATGTAACTTGCCATTTGTCAGCCCAATCAGAAATTTTACGTTGATCATTATTAAGAGACAGAGCAGTTTCATCAGGATCATTTATTATAGCATAAAAGTGATGTGTCATCAGTTTCAAACCCTGCAGTTTCAAGCAACGCGTGTGTCTTAATTGTCCCTTTGGACAACTAATTCATGTTGCAACATTTGCTGCCATTAGCTTCATTGACAACTACAGTCGAGCACCGTTTTTGTCGAACTCTGATAACTCGATATCTCGGTTGTCTCGATATAACATCTCGGTCCCGGCAAAATCCTTCATAATTTATCATTATTCAAGCTCTTTTAACTCGATACGGATGTCTCGATATTTCGGATATCTCGATATAATTTCATGGTCCCAACAAGTAAAATTACCCTTTTAACTCGATATTTGCAAAGAAACTCGATATTCACCTACCTTTCATGGGCAAGTATCCCTCTGAACTGAGGTTGTTTCCACACGTTTACACACGGTGCGGCATGAATCAAAGGGATGCGGTAGTGTAAACTAATTAGGGCTAATTGAGTTGAAGGTGTCACTTGTTTGTTATTTAATTAGGATTAATTAAGAAGGAATTAATTAGGAAGTACTCACTGTTACAACTAAACACTACTGATAACGGATTATAGTTTCGAATCAAAACATACTGAGAAGCGTTTTGCTTTCTTTCATAGTGATCTGTGATGATATGCCCTGGTCGGATGTCTCGAAGTTCGGACAAGTCGATATTTTTTTCTAGGACTCATGAATATCGAGACAACGGTCCTTGACTTAATTGACATTGTCGAAACCTCTTCATAACAGCAAAATACTAGCTTCATGTGGCGTTTTCAAGGTCCCTGTAACGTTGACATTTTAACAAGACTGCCTGAACACAATGACTAATTTAGAGTTTTCTTTGCTTTATGCTGTAGAGTCAGGGAGGTCCGAGGAGGCGTGCGGAAGGTGACTTAAGTCGACATTAAAGGAAAATATGGCTGTACTAATAAAACAGGCAACATTGTTATATTTCAGTTCAGTTTACCGAAATTGAAATGCCATGGTGTTATTGTCTTAGTTTAATCTTTGCTTGGCATTTAGAGTTGATTGAATGTGTTAACATCTCATTTTTGTACCAAGAATTTATTGGATACTTGACTTAAGATCATGTTTCTATCTGGTCTTCTCTATGTATCCCCAAAAACCCCGGTCTAGAATATAACACAAGTGCATTACATCCAATGTGAAAAAAAGTCACGTTTTGTTTTCAACTGATCTTCAATTCTTTTCTTCCAACGATAAAACACAAGCGAGTCCATAGTCACACCAAAACAGTGGTAGTCATTTTACTTCGCAAAAATGATTGACAGGGTTAAAATGTTATGCATGAATAATAGAAACATGAAGTAAATATAAAATCCTGTCACTAAGGTATAGTAAAATAACTAGAGTATCACAGATGTTGTCTAAAAACATTTAAAAAATGAATCTCACAACATAGAAAACAACATAAAAAGGGGCTAGATCACCTGACTGGGGACCATGGGGCTTTTGGTTCCTGCGCAGTTTCCCAGCTGGATTTACAGCATCCTTTGCTGCTATCGATTTTACGAAACAACATTCACTTTTGCAAAAGTCATATATGTTGACAGGAAACATATCTTGTTACAATCGTTTTATACGAGATATCATCCAAACAAAGTTGTATAATTGCGGATCGTCTAAGCTTAAGCAATTAGGTAAGTCAGTGTTATGAGTAATATTGCTTGTTTTACTCCTGGGTTCATTTAGTTCGTTTTTCATAACAGCACCGTATCCTTCTGGGTAGCCAAGGGGTAGAAATATTTATACATTATTATACAGATGTCATGCCTAATACAAGCTTATACATGTTGACAGTTCACAACACATCAGTCTTCAAACATGAGTAGATACATTCAAGTATTACTGCACAAAGATCATAAGTTTTACACATTGAAGAGTCATAACACATCATACATGTTGTGTAATGGGCGCCCGTTTACTCCACATTCGTCTGGCTGGTTTTTCATTTTGGCAACCTATCTTTCAAAGAAGCGATGGAGGATTTTTGGGTCAATATTAAATTTTAGTACAGCTTATGCATTAAATATGTATATCTCTTTTCCCATCCGTGGATTGACACACATATTGTAATTCGCAATCTCAAAATTCTACTTTAAGCTGTTGAAGAGGCATGACACATCGGTCCATGTTGCGTGAGTAGTGGTAGCCATTTTACTCATACGTTCATTTAGTTGGTTTTATTCTAGCAACATATCTCTCAACTTGAAAATATCTTTCAAGGTAGCAGTAAAAGATTTGAAAGATAGAGATTCATTTCTAATACAACTTATGTATATATATCTTTTTCCAGCCAAAGAATGTGGTTCACCAGTTTGAAGTTTGCGGCCCCTTGGATACCAAGAGGGATGGATTTAAGATTAAGCTGAATCTCATAACCCAAATGTTGTCTCAAAAAAATTGTTCCAGATTGTGTACCAGAAATGACTAACCTGTGGACATTCAAAAATATACGTGCACAATCGATTCGTTTTTCATTGTTACATCTTTTGACAAAATACTATTGTCGATCAGCTTCATCTTAAATAATTCCTTCTTGGTGTATATAATGCGATGCAAAAAATCTATATTGGAAATCTTGTAGCTTGATATCTCTACAACATTGTTTAGGAAGACTAAATATTTCCTTCCAGTTTAAGTCAGTTAAGAACATTTGTTGCCATTTACTACAAATAATAGGAGATAATTATTTTGCATGAGTATATCATAGATCTTCCTGGAGAGATCCCTTTGCTGGTTTAATCCATTCCATTAGAGAAGTTATTCATCCACAAGATCGTAGACACATATAGGTTTAGAATTGTCTATCACCTTTATCCATTCTTTAGGGAGATTACTAACAACTCGATGATGGTCCAGATAAAGTACCCTTCAGGTTGAATTTTTTTTCAAGTCTACAAAGGATAGGGAGCCCATTCTCATCAACACATAGGTCTCTTATATAGTGCACTCCTTTACCGAACCAGTTTTCTATAATAAAATTTGAGTCTGTTTCTATAATAAAATTTGAGTCT